CCATGATAAATTACGACCGATAACCACCGATTGCACCCGAATCAGAACCGACCAATCAACGCGTACCCGAATATGACGTAGGCAGGGACATGCGCAAGCTGAACGAGTTTTAGACAATTGATGAGCATACCCTTGTATTTTTATCATGGATAAGACTATAAGATGACTAGCAGTGCGACATTTGTCGTCTTTTAGTCATCTTTTCGTCGATTATATTCTTTCACTAAAAGATATCTTTATAACAATTTAGTTGTCTTTTAGTCATCTTTTAGACGACTTTGTGCTCTCTGGGATGTGACCATGCCATCGACGTATAGTATGGATCATGGTGGAAATATATAAGGTGAAACAATACGCATAATGGCGGTAGCAATACTGGTAATAGCCAATCAAATATGTCCGAATATGCACTTTGCTACCTATAATAGCGCAGGGTTATACTGGAATAGCCAATCAAATATGTCCGAATATGCACTTTCCTACTGCGCATCTATCAGATTGCTTCACCTTATATATTTCCACCATGATATGGAGATTGCGCGACCCATTCATAAATCCCCTCGAAAAGTGTCCGGTGAATTAGACAAAGAGGAAACGCGGTGTGGGTCAATTGCTCGCTCTTTCTAATACTCCTAGTGGTTGCTTTTGTTACCGCCCAGTGGATGTCAGTAATGTATCGCTAGACGGTGGATTCCATGTGCAGTGTGGTGCAGTGTTTACTGTATTCAGTCACATATACGACAAAACTTTAAAATTGACATTTTGTGATTAATATATAGTATGATGGGGGGTGATCCCGATTGACCACGGCTCGATTGGACACCACCAATCACAGCGACCGGTGCTTAGGAGCTTTGTAGTCTCAAGCACTGTGAGTGGCTTGTGTCCAACTGGGTGCCACCCTATTTGTCGTTTCATCGGTGAGTAATAAATTGTGACTACAATTTGATTAAGTTAGATTAGGTTATCCATTACATATTCGAAACGTTTGTAAATTTTGGGTTATTATTTTCAACGGGGTGATCCCGATTGATCACGGCTCGATTGGACATCACCAATCACAGCGACCGGTGCTTAGGAGCTTTGTAGTCTCAAGCGCTGCGAGTGGCTCGTGTCCAATTGAGCCGTGTCCAACTGGGTGCCACCCATTTTCAACTATAGATTTCCGTCACATTCTATTATTCGGCAACAATGATAGATATCGTTGGAAACTTGAAAGGAGTCCCAGGAAGAAATACATTTGTTTGTTCGAGCCATTTTGAGAGCGAATGCTTTCGCTATGGAATGGTCAATGGAAAAAAATTTTTGAAACCAGAGAGTAAACCAACTTTAAATCTTGGAATTGAAACTTCTTCACTACAAACTCGTAATAATAATTTGCTACAATCTAATATCCAAACGTATCAAACCAAGTATAAGTGAGTTGGTCATATCGAAGAAGTAAGTATATTAAAGTATGTTTAATTTTTTGCTAATATAGAGTATTTTTAATCTTTTTTACTTATTTGCAATTCTAAATAGAGACTTAGATTAAATTAATTTTTCTATTGTAATTGCATTTATACACATCGCTCTTTATGATTGACGATATACGAGGTCTGTTCAAAAAGTATCGCGAATTTTGTGTTTTTCAAAAATTATTTATTTATTCATGAATATCTATTTTGTCCCCTTCAAAGTAATCCCCATCAGATATTATACACTTGTGCCAACGTTTTTTCCAATCCTCGAAGCACTTCAAAAAATCATTTTTTGTGATCTTGTTCAGCTCCTCCTTCGACGCCGTCTTTATCTCCTCAATCGTAGCGTAGCGTCGTCCTTTCATGGGCCTCTTCAGTTTCGGGAACAAGAAAAAGTCACAGGGGGCCAGATCTGGGGAATACGGTGGCTGCGGCATCATTAGTATGTTGTTTTTGGCCAAAAATTCGCGCACAAGCAACGATGTGTGAGCAGGGGCGTTATCATGGTGCAAAAGCCAATTTTTGCGACCCGTCTCATGCCCAAATCATTGGTAAAAATTGAATGGCACGAGCCAATCGATATGTTTAGGTCCTCAGCAACTTCTCTGACGGTGATTCGACGATTGGCCAATACTATTTTCTTCACTTCATCAATGTTTTCGTCTGTTGTTGACGTGCTCGGGCGTCCGGCACACTCTTCGTCGTTCACATCTTCTCGGCCCTCTGAGAACATTTTGTACCACCGATAAACGTTGCTTCGGTCCAAAGTAGCTTCACCATATGCCACAGTCAACATTCGGAATGCGTCCGCGGACTTTTTCACACAAAATTTGATACAGATTCTTTGATCCATTTTTTGGAATAGGCAAAAATCGAAGACGAACCAAAACACGTGCAAGCAAAGCAGCTGTCAAAAAATAACTGAACATTCAAAATGGCCGAACTTGTCGGCATAAGTGAGAGACATGAGTACCAACATAACGCCACAAAAAAATCGAAAATCGAATATACGTAACCCGCGGAAATTCAAAATTCGCGATACTTTTTGAACAGACCTCGTATAATTATCTTAACAAAATTACCTTTTTAAAAAAAGGTAAAAAAAGGCGCCAAGTGTGCATGTACCTTCCATAAAAAACTGTACTTTACACTAAGAAAAAAAACCGTTACATAAATAATATAGTTCAAGTGGTAATGTTGTTAATTTTTTATTATAAATTACCCCTCAGTAGTACGTACGCATGTATTAAAAAAGAAATGAAATCATATCTTTAAATTACGCCAATTGCAAAACGAATATATAATTTCTTGCAACATATAACATATACTATTGTATTTTGTAAATTGCGAAAAGAACATATATTTTATTGCAACATATACCTAACATTTAATTAACGAGGCAAAATGATACGTACCTTTATTTTTCTATTCAAGAGTCTTTTATATTTGCAATGGAATACAACATTTAATCTAAAAAAAATTAAAGACGAAGCATCACAAAATGAAAAAATTTTATTAAAATAAAATTGTTTATGTAAAAATACTTGGCGCGCTGCTAGACCTCAAAATATAATAAGTAAATGTTATATAAAAGAAATAAACAATGTTTATTGTTTAATTAACAATAATTAACATTAAAATTACAATCACAATTACAATTAAGATTATAATTAATTTTAAATCTACTTTTAAATTTAACTTAAACCGCACGTCTTACAAATCTGAAATCGTTATTTCTATACTAGTCTTATACGCTTTTACAATATATACAATATATAACACACACCATATAAATACGTATTCTATATTAAATCTAAGCTGCATACCTATCTAAATCTGGTCGCACATATGAACACGCTGTATATTACTAATTCTCTTTCTTAAATCTCTTCATTACTTCTCATATTTGGTATTTTTAATTATTTGCTTGTACGCACACGCACGCGCACGCACACACACACGCACACGCACGCACGCACGCACGCACATACACACTGTATATTGTTAGTCCACCTCATTTTCTTACTTAAATATCTTCATTATTTTTTTTATTCGATATTATTTGAAGATCATCTTATTATATTTTGAGGTCTAGCAGCGCCCAAAGTATTTTTACATAAAAAATTTTATTTTAATAAAATTTTCTCATTTTGTGATGCTTCGTCTTTAATTTTTTTTAGATTAAATGTTATATTCCATTGCAAATATAAAAGATTCTTGAATAGAAAAATAAAGACGTATTATTTTGTCTCGTTAATTAAATGTTATATGTTGCAATAAAATATATGTTCTTTTCGCAATTTACAAAATACAATAGTATATGTTATATGTTGCAAGAAATTATATATTCGTTTTGTAATTGGCGTAATTTAAAGATATGATTTCATTTCTTTTTTAATACATGCCTACGTACTACTGAGGGGTAATTTATAATAAAAAATTAACAACATTACCACTTGAACTATATTATTTATGTAACAGTTTTTTTTTTAGCATAAAGTACAGTTTTTTATGGAAGGTACATGCACACTTGGCGCCTTTTTTTACCTTTTTTTAAAAAGGTAATTTTGTTAAGATATCACGCATTTTGTAGTGTTAAACATCTTATATTCTTATATGATTAATAATATATCTCTTCACACGTGTGCGTATTACTAGAACATATTATTTATTATCAACATTTTCTAAAAATAATGTAGAAATGTTTTTAGCAGCTCTAGGCCATTGCTTTTTTGTAACTTGCGTATCATCAGCTTCAATCCAAGGTGAACCTTCTCTATACATACTTATAAAATGTTTTCGATACATGAACAATAGTGAAATATAGCATTCATAACTTTATACGGCTGTCCAGCTATTAGTATTGCACTTGTTGGAAGAGCACATAAATTAATTTTTTTTGGCACTTTGACTAATGTTCCATTTTGGTATAAAAATGAAATTAAATGGATGATTATCTGTTTCGTCTCCCAATGTTATTTCATTTTTAAATAATATATTATTTCCCTCGCAACGTTCATATAATTTATTATTTTATTTAGACCAATGTGAAAATCAAGTATTTAATAAATTGTTAAGATTAAACTTTCCTTGTTCGAATTGTTAACAAAAATTGAGAAAATAAAATTATTATTAGTAGTAACTTTTGTATCACCACATGTTATGCATCAATAAATAGAAATAATTTGATGCTCAACCAAATTTTCTATAAAATCATATTTAATACAAAGAGCTACAACAAAATCAAATGCATCTCGTTTAATACCAGTCGAAAAATACTCCCCTAGATATTTTCGTACTGCGTAGGTACTCAAATTAAGTACATATTCCGTTTTCATATCGATGCGCTAATGTATTTAAAACATTTAGTTTATCAGAATTAAATAATTGTTTTCTAATAATAATTAAATAAAATAAACATTGTAATGTAACATCGACATAGCATGAAACTTTGTCAGTATTTTGAAAACCACGTATAACCCAAGAAGTAATACTTTGTCGAACTTTTTGATCTGACTGTTTAACGGAAGTTATTATTTTCGGTAATGTCCATAGCACATCTTTAATTTTACAAACAAAATCACATAAATAGGCTAATGAGATTCAAATTTGCGGTGAATTGTGCAATAAATTATTCAATACATAATATTATACTTATACATTAATCTTCATACGTTTCAGCCATCATTCGGGCCATCTTCAGTGGCACATCTTTAATTTTACGATAACTCTTTTGAAATAGTAATAATAATTTGTGCTTCTGGTTCATGTAGTCGTTTAGCCGATTATATTCAATGATTGCTTCTTCACTAGTTATTATAGATAAAGAATCATGATTAATCAAATACGCATTAAGGTTCACTTTCGTTGCTAATTTTACTTTAATTTTATATTAAAATTAGAATTCTATGAAGGCATTGTGAACAACAGCTTAATGGACAAAACGCTTTGTGTATGTTACACGTACGACTGAAAAAATTTGAAAAGCTGAAATGGTCCCTTTTTGGGAAATGATCTCCAGATCTATCGGCTGCACCAATTTTATTCGGACTGATCGCAATCAAAAGATACCGACGACATATAATAAAATTGTTTTTAGATCTTTGATTGCGGCTTTAGTTTCTGAGTAATTTTAATCTGAAGCATATAAAAATTTAAAACGGGCCGCTTGTCCGCTTAACGTGTGAACGTCATTGCGTATATATTCATGCCGTTACCAAATTCGCGAGGCTATAAACGGCATGAATATATGAGCCGTTTATTTTGAAAGTGGCCTAAGTCCATTTTTCAATGTTTTGTTGTTGACCATTGTAGTAGCGTGTACAACTTGAAGTTAGCTGTCATAAACATTTTTTTTTTTTAAATGGACTTAGGTCACTTTCAAAATAAACGGCTCATATACGTAATGATGTTCACACATCAAGCGGCCTGTTTTATATTTTTATACACTTTTAATTTAAGGAGGTTGTAAGGCTGAGGCGGGCAGTGAGAGGGGAATGCTTTAATACAAAAGAAATATGGAGTGTAGCCAACATTTGAATATTAAAATTTGAAGAAATAAATAGCTAAAATTTAAAGAAATATGGATTAAAATGCAAAAAATATTAGTGTTTATTTGTGTAAAAGTTTCAAAGATAACCATATATTTTTTAGAACAATAAATATTTTTAGCTCAAGAAACGATTTGGCAACGGTATAAAACTGAAAAATCGAAGTTGGTAACACTGCAAACTGCAATGTCTGACTGCAATTTCTGACGGGTAGATATAAAGGTTAACGTGACGCTGTAAATGTTTTGAAGCGTTCTTTGATAAATCATTTAGTATAATTTTTTTTCTGTGATTAGTAAATCAAATGCTTAGAAGTATTTGTAGTGAGACTTTGACGGCATTACTCAACTGATAAAATATTCTTTATTCGCGATGATGAAACAACGTTGCCACATTTTCTCCATCAGTTTCAATGGCAGAAGTATTACATCTTTGGTTATATTTTTTACTGTTGTTAATAAACTGAGTGGTAAAAGTTGTTTCATTCTCCAAATATATTTTTAATATGCTATACTTTATATATTAAACATAAATTTATTCGATTCTTAACATTTAAAATATTAATATTTATTGAAAACAGATACATAGAATCGACTCTCTTATAAGAGAAAGAGAGATAGTCTATTATAAAATCTAGAATTTTGTTATTAATTTACAGAAAAATGAGCTGGTCAAAAAATCTGAAAAAATTTACATAAAAGCATGCTTTGTAGATAAAGCTATGTTCCAAATTTCAAGCAATTCTTAATATATTGCATTCTCCTTACAACCTCCTTAAAAGTAACTTATTAAAGTATTAAAGTAACTATATTAAAGTAACTATACAGTGAAAGTGTCGACACATAATACAGTGTTAATGAAACTATAAATAAATAAGTCGGTAAATGACAGCTAAAGTCACTTTAGTGACTTTAGTGACAGCAATAAACGAGTGCCACCTACCGTCGAAAATATGAAAAGGAGATGACTTTTTGAGGCGACGTATCTTACATAAAATTTTGACATTTCGGATTTCGCATCACGATATCTCCGTTCGTGGGACACGTAGAGGTAAAATAAACGTTTATTATATATTTCGGACCCAAACTGTCGATGGAGCTCATATTCAGAACTCGATCGGTCTAGCCTTTATTAAAAAAACCGAGAATTTCGATGCTCGGATGCCCGCAACTCGTTGACGCGCGTAAAGACACGCGTGTCTCGCACTTGGCGCGAGACACTACCGTGTCTCTTGATAAAACATTAATTTAAAGAACTGCTTACATTTTTAAAGGTCTTTTATGTAGTAGTATTCTCTTATGTTAGTAGTTTTGTTGAATAATACATAATTTTCGAAATATAACATGTAAGTATAATATGT